CAAATATCCCTCTCTCCTGGCTATTGGGAGTAACTGCTTCTTCTTTACCATTACAGCTATATCCTCACACTAGTCTGTCTTCCCTGTAGATAAGAATTATTGAGGCACCTAATCACAGAAATATCTCAACTCTCTGACAGTGTGCAATCTAGAGTGAACCCCATGTTCTTGGACTTTTCCCAAACCCTCCCAAACAAAAGTCCAATCCTATAATAGCTCCTTTCTGACATCTCTTACTGAGGTGCCCCATGGTTCCTTATGGTGTGCGTTCGCCTTCACTGTTATGAGTAATAAACCCAACTGGTTCAACCAAAGGCATCGACACTATCATCTATCTTGATGCTGTAATTGTCTCAGATCTGGCCTGTAGGCCAAAGTCCTTTTGCCATATCCCTATTGGTCTTTGAGCACTTTCCCACTTTCTGGCACGAGATGTCCCAGATTCATTTTGTAGGTTCCCTACCCCAGCCCTGGAATCAGCCATTTCTCCATGGAGCCCTGACTTCTTTTAGCTGGGAACGGTATTTAAAAGCCAAGATCTGGGAGCTAAGTGTGCTCATTGCTTTTGGGGTGCCATTGCTCCCAGAGGTGGCCAGAGCTAGAAAATATATGTATGTACTTTTATATACACACATACAAACATTTACATCTATATTTCTCTCTCTCTGTCTTTATTCCTATATATATATGAAAATATGAGTTCACACTGATACTGCCAATTCCAATCCAGCACCACAGGGTTCATTTTGTGTTCTCCTTCCTTATTTGTAACTCTCTTTTCTGTCAGTGAGAAATCTGGCTTCCATTATCCTTAATATATCTACATATATGACTATTCCCCTGTATGTAGCCAACCTCCCACCTCAGACACCACCCGCTCCCCCATGCTGATGCCCTCCTCACCTCACCTGGGCTCAGAAATCCTGTGCTGGGCTGTCCCCCACCAGAAGCCCTCCCCACCCTGACTGAGCTCTGACACACTGTGTGGAGCCACCACGGCTTCCTACTACCTGCTCTGCCCCACCTAATGGCTTTAACACTGAATTAAGAGGAAAGAACCCTGGAAGAGGAAAAAGAGGAAAGCTTTTCTGTATTTCCTTTAAACTTAAAAAAAAAAAAAAAAAAAAAGAACAGTGTCAGCCGGTTCAATTTAGGCAAAAAGTCTGCCTAAGGGAATATTCATGGCAGCCTGTGTCTTAAACATTTAATTTTACTTAACAAATGTTTGTTAAAGCATATGTTTATATTTTATTTTAATGTACTTTTGTGACCAATTTTAGTACTTGTATGGTATAGAATGTAGTTCATGGACAGAGCCCCTTTTGCAGCGTTGTACCTGTGGAGACAGGTTCACCTCTGGTGGCACTGCCACAACAGCTCTCAGGTGCCAGGGGCAGAGGTAGAGAAGTGCCGGTATCAGCAAGGACAGCACCAAGCTGGGGGCCTCCCGTTGAACCCACAGGTGTGGCCCTACTCTGGGTGTCGTGGGCAGGAGAGGCAGGGAAATTAATTTGTTTGTGAGTGGTGGTGGCGGGTGGGGCAGGAGTAGGGAGGCTGGTGGTCCTGTTAAAGAACACATTATTCATGACATTAAAGATGGTAAGGCAGATTTTATTCAGGTCCATCACGATAGGTACAGGGACCACTGCAATGGGACCTTGCAGTGGGGGAAAGAGATTGGACTCAGCTCTCAATGCAGTGTGGGCCAGTGGGAATTGATAGGCAAGGAGCAGGGTGGGGGTCAGGGGACGGAAAATTACTAAGAGCAACCATCAGGGTAAGGGAGGTTCTGGCAAAACAGATCTAACAGGATTCTTGCTGAAGACGGGCCAGCGTGATCAGGTATCACCTGGGGGATGGGGGAGGATGAGGAATCCAATCAGATATTGAGAGTGATCAGATATTGAGGGTGGGGGATTTCTGGTTAAACTGACTTAGCAGGGTTCTTGCTACAATTGGATTTTACAAGGAAGTGCACAGATGGGCCTTGGAGAAGGTTCAGGAGCCTGACTAAAGTTTGGTCAAGCAAAGAATCTTTGTCAGTCCTCACAGAATCAGGCAGGCCCACGAGGCCTGTCACCCCTCTGCATCACAAGAGATTGTCCTCCAGGGGTCCCACTGCTGAGCCACCGTGGTCCCACCTCACAGAGAACGCCTAGGAATTACCACTTGACTGTTGATGCTGTCAGATGAGGCTCAGATTCTTCCTCCCCAGCCCCCCAAATTCAATAAAGTAAATATTGATGAAGCATGGATGGCTTGTGTTACGTGTTAACATTAAGCCAATATACACTCGCTAACAGAAGATACTCCCCAGCACACCACTCCAGACGCATAGAAAGACTGACTGTCACCAGAACACGCTTTGTTGTCCCACCTCTGCCCCTTTGCTGAAGCTCTGTCCCTTCCTGGAACGTCCTGACCCAGCCGCCATCTCTGCCCGTCATGCCGACCTCGAGACTCCACCCAAACTTCTCCTTGACCAAGATGCTCTGCAGCCTCTCATCGGAATTACCTTCCCCCTTTACCTGAATTACCTGAGCACGAAGACACAACCTCCTTTCGACCTCCATTGGAGCACGTGGATACGTCTGTGTTTCACCCCAGTTCCTGTTTCTTCCCCCACCCCTGTTCCAGATAGTGGGGGGCAGAGCTCGGCAGCCTTGTCCTGTGCCCTTCACATGATGGTGCCCAAAGAAAGTTTGAAAATGGATATTGCCCTCTGCATCGTGGAACCCAGAGACGGTGGCCCTCCTTAGAGTTTCCAGAGCCTTCTCTCCTCTGTCCTCTCTTTTCCATCCCCCAAGAACTGTAATTTTTTTTTTAATGGTCATTATCTTGATATTAGACAGACATGCAGAGCTACCGTGACTGTAGCCTGACGATAACTGGGGAGTGGGGTGAAAGGGTTGTGTTAATCAGCTCTAAGGAAATAAGACCCTGTCCTAAAGTCATGGCTGAAAAGCCCAGATGAAGCTAGAAGTTCCTCAAGGAGCGATTCCTGTTGTCAGGAAGCTTAGAGGAAATTGTGTATTTTACTAGCTGCCTTGGGCACCTACCTCGTTGAGTTTTATGTTGACTCGTTCCTGTTACTTTCATTGTCATGAATTCCACTCATCCACTGGCTCTTGCTGCAGAGCTCTGGCTCTTCTCGCCCGGCTCCACCCTGCCCCCTGCCTCCTCATGTCTGCGTGCTGGTCCCCCAAGCCCTTTGATAATGAGTAGTTAACCCACTCCCTCAGCCACCTCTGCCCTCCCTGAGGTCACCCTAGTCCAGTGAGGCCCTCCCAGCTCTTTTGCTGCCTACAGAGGACAGACAGGGGACCCATGATGTTCAGAGATGTCTGTCCATTATCCCAGGCCCATTGACTGCTCCTTCACCCCTGCTCAGCAGTTGCCCATCCCCCAGGGTGCCCAGCCCCTGGACCCCGACGAGCCTCCTCGACAGTGGGAAGGCACACCAGCTTTTCCCTGTCTCCACAAGGGTCTTCTGCTTTTTTTTTCAACATAACAGGACTTTCATGGGCATCTGAAGGCTGTAAATTTTGCCAGCAAACGTGCATTCTTCTGATCTCGTTTGCTTCTGGGACTGTCTCGACAGGCTGTGATTTGTTTTTCTGTAACTAAGGAGCCACAGGCTGGGAAGGCAATTTGCTACCTTCTCTCCTTTATCACCCAGCTGTAAGGAGGCAAGGAGGCTATCCTTTGCTGTCTCCCGCTGTGATTTCAGCACTTTCTGGGAGCCAGGCTCTGTGCTAAGTGCTTCATTGCTAAGTTCATTGTCTCATGTAATCCTCACAACAGTTTGTGAAGCAGGTGTTAGCAGCCCCACCTTCCAGAAGAGGAAACTGAAAGTTACAGAGGGTGTCCATGGCTGTGACAGTAAGCTGCAGTATTCGACTTCCAGCCCTGGCTTCCCTGGACTCATAATCATTGAGCTATCCCAGCTCACGACAGCACACGCCCCACCAGCCTTATGAAGTATGAGGACAATTTTATTAGAATGCAAAGCATTAGTGGTTCAAATAACAAGTAGGTTGTCCAATGCAAGCACATGATATGTTTACAAAATCACCTTGGTATAGCTGGAAGCCCCTGGCTAATTTCTTTCCCTTTGCTATATCATGGACCACCTCTAGCCCAGGTCCCCTAATAGAATTTATGGGTTTGGATTTCTGCTGCTGTCCAAGACACTCCAACCCTCAGATCCCAGAACCTATCCAACCTTAGGAGCCCAGCCTGAGCAAATTCTCATTATGACCCTCTCAACCCTTGCCCTCAGATCTCCCAAAGTCTTTCTGGGATCTTCTTCATCCCCACATGTGATGGTGCCAAAAGAGCTAAGCTGGAGTTTATTATGGGATGGACATCTAACTTCTTGGTCTTGGTCTTAGTCTTCCTGTGTGTAAACCAGGGCAAAAGGAAAGACTGGGTGCCCAGTGCACCTCAGATCCATTCCAGCCCTTCCTCTGCACCTCCTTTGATCTCAGAGAACTGCATTTCCCAGTCTCCTTTACCAACGGCCTCTGGTAGGCCTGACCAATGGGAGGCCTGGCGGAAAATTGGAGGGAAGATGGGAGGGGAGGAAATTCCCTGGAGCTTTACTCCTTGTCTGTCTGCTTCTGGTGTCCCAGCAGTGGCTCCCTTTCCTTCATGGCTCCAGCTTCTGCCAGACAGCCCCTCCCATATGGTCCCAGTGCCCACTGGGCCGTCCCCCCACAATCTCAACATCTACAGGAGGACCCGGTTTGGGCCCCTGGTCACACCCTCTGCTCCCACTGTCTCATGGGCTCTGGCATGTGAGCAGCTTCCTGCTGTGGCTCATCTCTGCTTTTTTCACTGTCCCCTGTTGAATTCCTCTGCACTCCTGTCAATTGATCAACCAATTCTCTGTATTAAATTCCTCTATTCTAAGACTTAGAGGGATTTCTGTTTTCCTGGACAGACCTAGACTCTTACTAAGTGCTTTGAGAACCATACCGCTTAGACAAAGGGAAGAGGCTCTTGTTCCTCTGCTCCTCCCTGCCCATCTCAGAAGTGAGCAGGTCAGAGCTCATTTCGTTCTTTTTAAAAATCTGTATTTGTTATGACTATAGAAGTTATCTGTTAGTGAGGAAAGCCCAGAGCAGCGGCAACGAGACCCTCTACTCAGACTATAGGACCATCCCCCTCCTCTTCCTAGATTGTCAGCTCCTGCACAAGGGCATTAGATGAACATCTGCAGCCAGCATAGTTCTTACTCCCAGATGACTGCAACCACCTACTGGGAGCCAGGCTGCAAGTCCTTTCTGGTAAGGTCATGGCTCAGAATTTCAGTTTACTGGGCACGAGTTGTGCCCGGAAACACGTGGATGCGTTGAACCAGGCCCTGGTGGCAAGAGCTGTGAGTGTGAGGGAAGTCCTGCATAGGAATGTGCAAATGCCATTCACTGGGATGGGGACTTTGTCTCACAGATTCTCTGGGGAGCACATGAAGGGATGGTTCTCCTGGTGGGGAAAAGAGCAGGAGTCTGATGCAAATCAACCCTGTAACCCTGGAGACCCGTGCAGTTGGTGCATTGAGCAAACACTGAAGCCTTCTTTCCTCTATGTTATATTTATTTCTTCTGATGTGTTACTGTATGACACTACAGTTATTATACTTTGTAAAAAAAAAAAGAATATCACATTTGAAGGGGGAAATTCACCCAGTTCTCTAGTGGTGGCAGAAAAAAATCTCCACTTAAAATTTGGCAGGTGCTGTTGAAGGTGGCTGTCCTGATATTGCTGCAATGCTTCTTTCCTGATGCTTTGATGGAGGGAACTGAGATATTCCGGTTCTTTCCTTCTTTGTGTCAGAGTGGGAGCTAATTATAAAATATCATTCAATGTACTCTCTGTTGAAGGATGACAGCCACTATGTTTGTCTCTTCTCAAAATTCAGAAGCAAGTGATCCATCTCATTGCCTGTTGGCTGTGTAACAGTCTTTCTTATGGTGCACATTCTGGATGCTAACTATTACATTTCTCAGAGCAACTTCCCTTTGATAAAACTTTTCCAAATAGTACATGATGCATCCTGCACTTTTAAGAAAGTGACATGCAACAGAAAGATAAACTTGGGCTGGAAGAGTCCACTTCCTGCCCTCTAACCCTGACTAAATCCTCAGGGGTAACTCTTCTGCTTCTGAGTCCTTGAGGAGGGGATGGGTGAGAGGGGCCACCTTCCCAAGAACTCCAATCTGGCCCAAGGGAAAGAACTTATATTTCAATGCCCTGCCCCAGAGTTTGTAAACTAAATCTCTCAGCTATTTGTACCCTTTCCTTTGTACCCTGGGCATGGTCTGGAAAGAGGAAGATGGACCAAATGGCTCAGTTAGTGCCCAACACAGTAATGAGAAGGCCTATGGAAAACCCTTTCTCCGTTTCTAATATTACACTGTTTTGTTTCTGGAAATTATTATTTATCATTGGGAAGTGTGTGAGTGTGTGTGTGTGTGTGTTGGGGGTAGGGAACATTATTGCCCAAAGATTGTCACAGGGAGCTGAGAGAAAGTGGAGCAGGGAGGCTCCCTCTGCCAGCTGGAGCAATGGAGGAGCCGAAGGCCATGGGTAGCTGAGAGCCACATAACAAGCCATCAGTAATGTGGCTGGAGCAGGGCTTGTGTAAGACCAACACCTCTTCTTTCAAAACATGTCAGAAAATGAGCTCTGCATGCTGAGGCCAATATATAATTGTCACAAGTTCTTCCAGGGTTTCATGAAGGACTGTTCTAGATGTCCCCATTGGTCATGTTACTTAGCAGGCATTTTCCCCCCAAACTCATGCTATTAAGAAAGTGAGTTAAATAGAAACAGAGAGTAGAATGGTGATTGCCAGGGGTGGGGGTGAGATAGGGTGGGGGAAATGGGGAGATGTTGGTCAAAAGGGTACAAACTTCTAGTTATAAGATGAACAAGATGAATACAGCATGGTGGTCATAGTTAATAAAACTGTATTGTATACTTGCAAGTTGTTGAGAGACTAGATAGTAAATGTTCTCATAACACACACAAAAGGTAATTATGTGAGGAGATGGAGATATTAATTAACCTTATTGTGGTAATCATTTCGCAGTATATACACATATCAAATCATCACGTTGTATGCCATAAACTTACACAATGTTATATAGTCATGTGCCGCTTAACGACGGGCATACAATTGTCATTAGGCAATTCATCATTGTGGGAACATCATAGAGTATACTTACACAAACCTAGGTGGTATAGCCTACTACACACCTAGGCTATATGGTAGTAATCTTATGGGACCATTGTTGTATATGCCGTCCATTGTTGACCGAAATATTGTTATGCAGCACATGACTGTATGTCAATTATATCTCAATAAAACAGGAACAAAAAGAAAGGAAATGAGTTAATCTAATAAGAAATCCCCCCAAACCCATGCTATTAAGAAAGCTACTTATTACTGTAAAAAGTAACCACTTGAGGGAAAAGTCCCACCTCACATGTAGCAAATCATTGTTTGGAAATTTTGGAGTGTGGTGAAGAAAAGAAACTCAACAACAAAAATTAAAGCCTTAAAGGACCTCAGGTTATGATGTAATATCTTGAAAGAGTTTTATCCTTTGAGCTAGAAAATACTGACAAAAAATTTAAATCTCATTCATGGGATTTATTAAGAAACTTGTCATAGGGCCAATAGCTTAAAACCAGCCCAGTAATGAAATGGTCATCCATCTGAGCAAGAAGGACATTCAATGTATTTCACAATTGAGAGGGGCACTGGCATCAACCACTTAGATTGCCTGTCAACACAGAAAGCTGTGCCAGATGATAACCCTTCAGTTGCAGGTTGTGGAAAGGACTGAGGGCTTTGAGGGAGAAAGAGGATCAAGGTAGCCAGGACAGCAGGGGGCACTTGAGGAGCTCAGGGAGAGGGCTCTTTACCAACCCATGTGAAAATATTTAATATTTTGGCAATCTGAATGCCCATACTGTTGCATAACATCTTGGCCCTGCATCTTGGCCCTGCATCCATTCATTCAATTATCCATCCATCCATCTATTTATCCACTCACCCACCCATCCATTTGTCCACCCACCCAGCCACCCACCCACCCACCCATCCAATCAGTATTCTATCTATTTATTCAACAAACATACCCTGGGGACATTTCCTTGGGGGATATGTGTCACAGTGAATATACAGATGAGTTGGAATGGTCCTTATCCTTGGGAAACTTACAAATTATTCTTATTGTGTGTGGGGAGGATGTGTTTTAGTTGCTGCCATTTATCCTACTGTAATAGAATTATGGTGAGATGTCATGGCATAAAATTAAATAAATTTATAAAATTTCACAGAGAATATGTTTACTACTTTATATTTTTCAAAAAATTTTTGTATTTTCTCACTCGTTCCTCATAGCAATTCTGTGAGATAGGTGGAAGCACATTCTACAAACAAAGGCACTGAGATACAAAACCCTTACTTGACAGCCAGAGAGGGACAGAGCCAGGAATCTGGCCGATGGACTTTCCATCAAGGGTGGAAGTACTTTGCTGAGTGATTGCAGCTTCAATGTATGGATTCCATTCCTATCATACTTTGCTGAGTGATTGCAGCTTCAATGTATGGATTCCATTCCTATCTTAACATTGACATTGTCTGACAAACTGTACAGCCAGGAATGGATGATCCAGTTTATTGTGGTTGAGTTGATACTCTGACTCTGCAATTAGCCAATGTTTGGCTCTCTGCTGGTTTGATAGAGTAAGAAGGAAGGAAGAGTCCATTGAAATTCAAAAGTCCCAAGTGATTGGAATAATAAATTTTCATATAAAATACAGTTCAATACCCTCAAATGAAATGAGTGTTTCTCAGGTTCTTTCAAGAACCCATTGAACCAAGACAAATGTCCCAGCGTTCCTACTGGCATTTACTTTCTTCTTTTTCATGAAGCCAGGATGAGCGGTCACTTTTCAGTCAACTGGATCTTTCTGTAACTGACTTGGACAGATCCTGATAAAATGACTGCCTCTGGCTTTGAGTGTGAATGGAATAACATACTCTTGTTGTTGAATGAAAGAAAATCTCCCAGAACTTGGTTAAGTCTGAGTCAATTTTTAAACTGTCAGTAGGGAACAGCCTATAGAGTACTTATAAGAGGAAAATAAGATTTACTGTCCTTCTTTCCTCCCTGAATGTCACTGAAGGTTTTGGCTAGAGAAGAAGTAACTGCAAGAAGCATGACCTAGCCTCTGGATTTACGACCAGGGCCTGTCTGGCAGTGATTTAAGCTAAAAGCACCTGGTCAAAAAGCAGAAGAGTTCACTTTTGGGTTATTGGTCATTCAAGGGGTGAAACAATAATCAAGAATTATTACTCTCTAGTCACACCACCTTGAAATGGGTCAGCATCTCCTATACCCAGAGCAAGGGCAGGTATATCCTTCTACCAAAAATAAAATAGGCTCCTCTATCGTTTATGGTGGCTGAACCCACAGAAGGCTCTGAACAGAATAGATTGTTCATGCACAGACCATCAGAAGCTTTCATATGCCTGTCAGAGATGTTAACTGAGAAGAAGTCTTGGGCAGCCTGCTCTTGCCCTGCTGCTGCTCAAGCCAGAAGTGGATCCTGGATGGGGACAGGCTGGGAAAGGAAGATGGAGCATCATGGTCTGGTCCTGGGAAGCAGCATCTGAAAGAGGCAGAGCCAGACTTGAGGAGGAGGTGGTTAGACAAGCCTTGTCTGCTGCATGTGTGTGGCCCTACTTGTCCCTTGTCCTAGGCAGGTCCTGGTCAACTCCTCACATCCTGCTTACCTCCTCCACTTGGAATCCCATGAAGTTGGGGCTTTCTACATATATAACCCCACGAGGAATCAGAAAGCCTGCACAGCACTTTAGGCACTACAACTACTAAAGTTATCTATTGCTGAATTAGAAACCACCCCAAAACTTAGAAAACCATGTTATTTGCTCATGATTCTGTGTAAGAAAGTAAAAAGCGGCCCCAACAGCTGGCAGCTGTAGTGTTCCTGAATGTTTATAAACAATTTTCACAGCATATAAGCAATACTCAGACAAGGCTGTTCTTTGACCATGATGGAAAGACAGAGAAGACTATTTTGTGATCATGCCTGAAACTATACACAGACAAGGACATTCTGCAACTCAAAAATAACTAAACATCTCCCTCTTCTAGCTAATATGAGTTACCACGAACAGCTCTATTCCCACTTTAATCCTCCTGCCTCAGAGATAAAAATTATCAAGAGATTCGGTCACCAAGTTGCCCCCACTTTCTGACAGCACCCAATCAAAAACTGGCTCCTGCTTCCTTAAACCTTTATGGAATCACCCAGACACCCAAATCCTATAATAAGCCCCTCCCACTTCCCCTTTCTGGTTCCTCCGGTGTATACTCTCTGTTGTTGCAGCTGTTTAAATAAAGCTGACTTAGCTTGACTACAAATGTGTTCCTATTGGTCTTTGACATGTAGGTCAGTAATTTGGGCTGAGCTCAGCTGGCTGGTTCTTCTGTACCTGGAGTCTTGCACATGGCTGCAGTCATCTGGCATCTCAAAGGGATAGAATGGTGTAAGACAGCCCCACTCACATGGCTGGTGGTTGGGCTGGCTGACAGTTGAGCCACATGTCTCCAGCAGGCTAGCCCAGGCATCTTCACATGGCAGACTTGTGTGTGGTATAAGAAGACAAGACCCAGTGCACAGTATGTTAAGCCTCTGTGCCATCAGTCGAAGCAATTCACGTGGCTAGTCCTAGATTCAATGTGGGAGGGGACCACTAAGGGTGGAGATACACAAAGAAGTGATTGGGGGCCCATTTCCATAATAAACTACCATAGCATTGAACACACATAGTCTCATTTGATCCTCACAAATGAAGACACTGTTATCCTAGTTTTACTGATGAGAAATTCAAGTTTAGAGCAGTTTGAGTCTTGACTAAGGCCATAAAGCTAGTAAATGTCAGGGCCAAAGCCCAGGACCAGATTGCTGAGTCATACTTGAGAGTTTCTCTTCCTAGAGCCCTGACTGTGGATTTGCCATTTGGATACAGATGCAGTGTTACTGTAGTCCTGCAGAGCCCATCAAGTACATTTTGTGACTGCTTTCATTTAGCATAATGTTTTCATCCACTCCTTTTTATGGCCAAATGATATTTCATTGTATGGATACACTTCATTTGGTTTATCTTTTTATCAGGTGATGGGCATTTGGGTTAAATCCCCCAGAACAAGGAGGGTCCGTGAGTTATATAACAAATATATATATATATCCAAGTCATGCCAACCCATTTATGCATTTTACTGAGGCAATTGGATAGTGAGGCTTAAACATCTCAATCTACAAATGGTCCTCTACTCCAGGTTGAGGAGGGGACATAGGCCCCGGGAGGTAAGGATAGTGAGAGGATGGGGAGTCATTAAGGGCCTCATTACACTGGGCCTCTCTCAAGGCCATCTGAAGCAGTCTTGCTGCCACGTTGAGTGGCTCCCCACAGCACCCCATCTGGGGCCAGGCTTTCACTTCAAGGGTACAATTTTATTGCTGGAACATCTAGACACTGCACATTTTATCAATCAGGAATTTCTTCTGCCACCAGATCATCAGCTATCGCCGTAGCACAGCTAGGAAAAGATCCTCTGAAAATACAGATTTGACCAATTTCTAACTTTTTTTAGTTAAACAGAAAAAGCCTAGGGTGGGGTTTGAGAAAGAGGAGAGGAAATAATCTCTTTCCCCAAAGCTACTCCACAGCAGACAGCAGGAAGTATCAGGTGTTTGTGAGAACTGGCATGGCTGCAAAAGCTAAGATTGATTGGAAATGGCAGAAAACTAGAATTGGTTCTTTAAAAAAGATCACACAAAACAAAACCATGGTGCATTTAGAAAATGTGTTGCTAGAATTAATTGTGAAAGGCAGCGATGAAACTGGCTGTCAGAACATGCTCTGAGACCTTCTCACTGAACTGTTCTCCAACTGTAGGGAGGGTCCCTGGAGTTCAGCTGCCCCCACAGGGTTCCCCAGGGACATCTGAGGGGGGCCCAGAAATCCACACTCTTAACAGGGCCCTGATGATCTGAGCACACCATTTTCAGAAACACTGTCCTAGAGGCCACCTTAGTTCTCTCTTCTGATTATCATATTCATTTCTGAAGGTGGAAATCAAGGAGAAAGGAGAATGATTTGGAGTCTTTGGGAATGAAATGGATTAGTTCTCACCTAACAGGAAAATTTAATTGACCAGCATATTCCATTTAACACCCCTGCTTGCTTTAGGTCAATAAAAAGAATTTTTTAATATTGGTTCAACTTGTTTAATTGAGTTGAGAAGCCCTCGGCGCAGGGGGAGCAGAACCACACTATTTCTACTGGAAACTAATGGATATTCACAGGGTGACTCTTACGTTGTACAGGCACACCTCGGAGCTATTGTGGGTTCAGTTCCAGACCACCACAATAAAGTGAACATCGAAATAAACCAAGTCACACAATTTTTTTGGTTTCTCACTATACTGTAGTCTATTAAGTGCAATGGCATTATGTCTAAAAAACAACGTACGTACCTCAATTAAAAAATACTTTATTGCTAAAAAATGCTATCATCTGAGCCTTCAGCAAGTCGTAATCTTTTTGCTGGTGGAAGGGCTTGCCTGGTGGACAGGTCAGCAGCTGTCACCACACTCCATCTTCGAATCCTATGTCCTGTGATTTACTCTAGCCCCACACCTGACCACTCTGAGGGCGGGACATCCCGGTCCTGGGCTGCCTGCGGCCCGTCCGTGCTGACGCGGATGGTTCTGGAACTCCCGCAGGGTCCCGGCTGGCTCTGTTTGGCGATGGGAAGGTGGAGAGGTGATGAGGCATGAGGGGCTGACCTGGCTTGTAGTGTGAGCCTCGGACTTTGGCTCTCAGCGCTGCTGCAATTCCGTTCTTTCAGAAGCTGGGCGCGCGGGGGCTCCGAGGCCGCCGCCGCACCCCCACCACGGCGAGAGGCCGCTCTCCTGCCGCAGCCGCCACGGGACCGACCTGAGGCCGGCTGAGGGCTTGAGGAGTCACAAGTCAGACAAGAGGTTTCCTAAAGAATCAGTGGTTGAAGTCACGTGGGACCAGAGATGGTGACAAGCGGGGGAAATTTAGCTTATTTAAATAGAGGACACTACTTAAAATAGCTACCCGTCCATTGCAAAAGGAGAGAAATCACTTCACCGGCCGTTCCACCGGTCTCCGTCCGGTGCTCTCATTGCGCTCGTGTTGAAGGAGCGCGCGGCGCCTGGGAGGGAGCCCGCGGCCGTCCAGGCCTGCCCGGCGCGCCGTCTGAGGGAGAGCTGCTCCTCCAGCCTGAGCCCGGGTCTGCGGCGGCACGGCCGCCCGCCCAGCCCGCCAGAGGTGCGTTGTGCGCGGGCGCCATCGGCTCCGGTGGGGCTCTGGGCAGGCGTTGCACCTTCCTCCTCCAGCGCCAGCCAGCGAAGGCTGGAGGTGCCCTGGGGGCGACTACCTGCCAGGCGCGACCACTCCCTGCACCTGTGGCCTGAGCGGCCAATCAGGCAGGGCAGTCTTCTGCAGGGGCCTGCCATACTGAAGCTGGGCGCGGGGCACAGGACCAGCAAGAGGGTCGCAAGGCGACCAGCAGGACCACCTCACTCCCCGCCGGCGGTGCACACTGCGTTCCCATCCTGGCCTCTCAGGGGCGCTGACACACCTCACCACACCTGCTTCCCCGAGCACCTTATTCTTGTGGCTTCCAGGACAGCAGGCTCCGCGGCGCACCTTCAGCTGGGGGCGAGGAGGTGGCAGCCGCCCTCTCCTGGCAGCGTGACTGCACATCCTCTGTGCCTGTCCGTGATACCTGTTGTCCCCAGGTCCTTTGATGGTGAGGAACGTCCCTTCATCCTCTAAGGGGCCTGGCTTGGACAATCAGCCACCCGTCCCCATTTCTCGGATGGGACTGGCTTTTCTCTGACGTTGTGTCCTTCCCAGTTGGTGGGAAAATCTCCCTCCTTTGATGAGAAGGTGACAGTGTGTACAGAACTGCCTTCATGTTCTTATTTCTGAAAATAGAAAGGTGGCCCCCTGTGGTGTGCTGTGGACTGTTATTGGCTCCTGAAATCGAAAGTGTGCGAGTCCTGCTTTGGTGCGCCCCATCCTAGAATCCTGGGTCTGGAATGTGGCCACTTGCTGCCCACACCCCTTCTGGCCCTGGTGCCTCATTTTTCTGTGCACACATTCATTCAACAAACCTTTACTGAGTCTCTCTTTGCCGAGCGGTGTGTGAGGGATGCCCTGGGTGGAGTTAGATTGGGAACCAGACAAGACAAGTTCACTGTTGCGTGGCTCACTCAACACCCCAACCCAGCCAGAATCTAAGTGCTTCTCAATACAGCACTATCCACCAAATATTTATAGAGAAAAGTGTTCACCTGCATCATCCCCTACTCCCAACATGACAGAAAAGTGATGTGTGAGAGGCATCGAGTTTATTCTCTCATGGCTGGTGGAAACACCAGAGCACTGGTGGCCCTTTGAAAGCCTGTGAGTGTCCGGGATGAGAGGGACGAGCACCACCCAGAAGCTGCTGGTGTGAACAGCCCATGAACTGGACCAGTCTGCCACGTTTCCAGCTGTCCACAGGCACACAAGCCACTGTTCCTTTTATTTGGATGTTGCTCTGTGCTCTAGAAAAGTTGTTCTTCATTTTTCTTTTCCCATTTCAGGAATGGGTCTGGTTTTCTGGAATGGCGGACATATGAGGCCAGAGATGCTGCCCTGAGGAGTTTGGGCCAGGAGGCGGTTGAGGCCAGTGTCTGCTCCACATCGGTGCAAAGCACCCGGAGCCTGGAAGGCACACCAACGTGTGTGGTCGTGAGCCCCTCAGACTGGGGCTTCATCCCCTCTGGTGTCCTGCCATCCTGAGGCTCCATCTGCCCCAGGAACTCGTTGTCTCCACTTGCATTCAATAAGTGGTTCACCAACAACAGAGAAGCCCCATGCTGGGTCCTGGGGAGTACCCTGTCCTGTACCCAGGAACCAAGCTGTAAGGCACAGGTGCTTCATAACGATTTGGGGATCAATGTGGGACCCATGGATGAATAGTGTTGACCTTAAACAAGTAGACAACCAGTTATTTCCCCAGCAAAAAAGGCTTTATTTGGGATCAGTAAAGAATTGCAATTCAGGATGTGCATGCTATGGTGAACCATAGGCAAATCCGGAGAGACAAAGGAAGGGGCTTGCTTTTATAGAGCAAAGGGGGAGTAGGGAGGGGCTGTTGTAATGGAAAGTCCACTGGAGAAAAGTAACAGTTCAGGGTGGTCACAGCTTCTCATTGGCTGAGCTGTGGTGCTTCTCAATTGGCGGGGCTGTTGCCAGGAGGGGAGAGAAATCTTCCTGCAGTAGTAAAATAGTTGCCAGAGATGCAAGCTTATGTATCTTCCTGTTTGGAGTAATTGACAATGTCTGATAGGGCATAAGGACTCTCTCTACAGGCCTTCCCAATTCCAATTTAGTCAAAGTTTTTTTTATTAATTTCCACGTATTCCCCTTTTGATAAAGATCTTTCTCTGAAAGCATCATTGATCAAGAGTCAGGTTCTCTGCACATAGTGGTTTTGTCCCTCCGTGACAGGAAGGACTTTTCCTGGTTGTCACGTCCCACATTGGAGGGAAGGTGCATAGTGGTTGGAAACCATTTAGGCCACGTTTGAGTAACAAGGAAGATTAGGAAGGTTAGGAGGTAAAACTCTCAGGCATTTCCCATCTAAGTCTATATTTCTCCAAGGTCATAGGCATTGGAAGTCATCTCAAAGCACTGAGCTACTATCACCTCATTGGGTACATCGTTTTTTGTGGGGTTTTGTTTTGTTTTGTTTTAATGTTTTTTATTATTTGGTGAGGAAGATTGGCCCAGAGCTAACATCTGTTGCCAATCTTCCTCTTTTCTGAGAAAAATTGTCCCTGAGCTAACATCTGTGCCCATCTTCTTCTATTTTATATGTGGGATGCCACCACAGCATGGGTTGATGAGCGGTGCACAGGTCCACGCTCAGGATCTGAACCACGAACCCCGGGCCGCCGAAGCCGAGTGTGAGAACTTAACCACTATGCCACTAGGCCAGCCCTGGATACATCATTTTTACAGAGGTTTGACAGGCAATAGGTACAGAAATTTCCAACAAGTATACAGAGAAAGATAAAGAAGAATACTATAAGCCCGGTTTGCAGGATGTTTCTAAACCAAGAGCCCAGACCTGAAGGTAACCGGCTGAACAAATCAAAAGACAGTGGATTGTTAGGTGAAATTTGTTGTAACCAATATGCTTGCTCTCTAATTCTATGTAATTGGGTTTCTACTTCCCCAGAGGCATTTATCCATGTGCAACAGGAAGTGTTCCCCATTGCACAGACACCTCCTTGCTCAGCAAGTAGATGATCAAGGGCTATATGATTATCCAAAACTACCTTGGCCAATGAGTTAAGCAACCATCTCTGAGCTTGGTCTTGATTTGGATTTGGACTGCGGTCAGATGATGCGCTTCCCCTGTGTAAAATCCAAATTCCTTGTCTCAGTTTACAGGCTTTGCATGTTCTAGTTTGTCCCTAACTCTTTGAGCTCAACTCAAACTCTTCTTCTCCTAGGTTACCTGCTTCTTTGGCCTTTGTCGTACACATGGAATATGCAAACCTGTGCCCTTCCTATGCTTAGCTTGGTCAGGGCTCACAGTTGGCCAGGTGTCTGGAGGACTCATTCACCTGCCCCCTGTTGAGCTGAATGGGAGGGCTCCTGGTGGGCTGAGTGTCCCAGGGACTTAGTTGCTCTGTATCCAGGGTATGGGCTGGGTGTCCAGGGGACTCGCTTGTCCTGTGCTGAGCTGGATTGGGGGGCTTGCAGTTGGCTTTCAAAATGTCCCTCAAAAGGTGAATGGATGAACAAATTGTGGTATGGCCTCACCATGGAACCGTACTCAGCTAGAAAAAAGAACCATTGATACACTCAACTTGAACGGATCTCAGAGACATTATGCTGAGTGAAAAAAACAAAACAACCAACCTCAAGTTCAGCTGTATGATTCCCTTCATGTAACATGCTCAAATTGACAAAACTTCCAAGATGGAGAACAGATTGGTGGTTGCCTTGGGCAGGAATGGTTAGGGTAGGGCTGGGCAGCACAAGGGAGATCTTTGTGCTGATGGAGCAGTTTCGCACGTGGATTGTGCTGTTGGTTACCAGAATGTACACATGACAAAATGACAGAACCAGACATGCACAATGCGCCAGTGTTGGTTTGCTGGTGTCGATATTGTTCACAGTGATGTAAGATGTTATCACTGGGGAAAAATGAGTGAAGGGTACCTGTGGCCTTTCTGTACTATCTGCAGCTTCCTGTAAATCTATAAGTACTTCAAAAAATATATACTAATGCCGTATTTGTCAGCATGTCACAGAATAGCTCCCTAAAAGTAGCTGTCCCATTCCGGCTCCCTGGAGCTCAAAGCTTCCCTGCAGCCCCAGGACCCCAATCTGTGGGTGCCAAGCAGCAGTGGAGGAGACAGGAGGGTCTGGGGAATGCAGTTGCTGGGCTGTGGCAGCCTGTGACTGAGAGGGGTAGAGAAGGCCAGGTGTGGGACAGAGGCAGCACCCAGAGTGCTCTCCTCCCAGAGCT